TCGGTTAAGGAAAAAAGTGACAAAGAAGAAGCAGAACTTAGGCAAAAAGCACGTAGATGGTGTTGACGCCAGAGAAGAAGTCAGAATAGAATTACACGGAACCCGCTGTCCGATTCATTGGGAAAGTCTGCATATACTACCTTATTTTCATCAAATTTGGTTCAGCGCGGCAGAAGCAGCTAATTCTCCGATGGTTTATAAAGTCCATTAGACTATTTACTCAATCTATTGGGCTCGGACTGGACTGGACTGGACTGGACTGGACTGGACCGGACTGCTTTTCTAGAGTCCATGGACTGGACTGGACTCAAAACACTATTTTTCATGGACTCTGACTGGACTGGACTAGACCTTTTTAGTCCATGGAGTGGAGTGCACTCAAAAACTAGGGTTCATACGGAACTCTGTTAAACACCGATGTGTCATCTACACCTTGACTTAGGTCTAAAATGAAAGAACTCGTCAAGTTCTAAAACTTCAGTCATAACGAATTCAGCTGCATTACATGTTCTTGAAAAACATATTTTTGAAAAAATCGGGTTTTCTGTTCTAGCTCTAATAGCCCATGAAATTTTGCATAAAATCAGACGTCAACTAAGTTTCAATGATATTCAGTGACCGAGCTATAGGCTTTAGAAAAACTTGAAGTCATCAAATCGTTTAATTGTAGGGGAATTTTGTAAATTATACACATTGTATTTTATCTTGGAAGGTCATAGAAACTTAGTTGACGTCTCATTTTGTGCCGCACAAATGAACGGAGTTTTGTCGACTTGTGTCACGATAAAATAATTTTCAATCGAAATCCAAGATATTTAAGGTTTCTGTTAGACTAGGGGTTTTTAGAAATCCTTTTCTACGAAGTGCAATGGTCTAACGTGACTTTTCTTCGTTGAACTATAGAAGTGGACAGGTTCTTTCATTTGAGACCAAATTCAAGGTTCTACGCTAGCAACTGTGATCGGCACTGGCTCTCGGATTTAAACCAAATCAACTAAAGGATGACTAAAAATGCACTTTTCGCTGGGAGGGGGAAAACGTTCAAAACGTTTTTTTTTTTAGCCACAGCTAAAGATCTGTGTTTTTCTCTTCCATTCGATTCAACGTGTCGGTATCTGCCTGTAGTGGTGTATCGCCTTTAGTTTGCGCCAGATGCCAATGTAATGGAGGTAGGTTTGATATGGATTTATTACTAGCTACTAGAAACTGACAACTGTGGCTCACCATTTCTTTCACTATCACCATGCCCAATGAACATAACAACGTCTTCTTCCATTTTATTTCTGTGTACATTCACTGTATAAACACGATCTCCACTTTTTAAATCTTTGATTCTTTTTTTCTTCTGATGTTGATCACTTGTTACCATTGCCACTTCGTCTTCGCCGTAAAAACATTCCTCCATAGCAGCATCTTAAATGAACATAAAAAAGCGGAGCACATTGATCAGTGATTTTCAAAGACAGATATACGACTGCTTAATCCAGATGGAATTTGTTCGAAAGGCGCTATTTCTCTCAAAAAAACGACGACGATTTTAAAATAATGCAGAGCCCACTAAATTCTCATTAGAAAGCAGATCAAATCGTACAGAAAAGAAGGAAACACAAGGACTGGAAGATCGAAAAATTAAAGACTTCCATTTCTTTCCCTTTCATTATTTTCATTTTAGGCACAGAAAAAAACCTTTTCTTAGTTTATCATGCATGTCAGTTGTACTTCTGAAGAGGACAAATAGTCGGCTTGGATTTTAATCCAACGTCGAATATCTCAACACACTTCACACTGTGTTCAACTACACTCGCTAACACGCAAGAGAATCCAAGAGCAAAGTAGGGGATGGCTCTGGCAGAGTCGGACCTGACCGATTGAGTCAGTTGGACCGATCGGTTTTTGCAAAGTAGTGCATATTCATTCATTTTTCATCAGGAAGACATTATACATGTCTGCATAATAGTTCTTTTAAAAAGAAAGAAAGAGCGACAATTTTATTTGACTTGTAAATTCTATGTTTTTGTATTTTTTCAATTTGTTTTCAAAGACAAAGTCATATTATTTATTGTTTAAAATATCTTAGCAATCGGAACATTGTCATGTATTGGGCGTTTATATACTTTGACCTTCTTTCTTTGGTATTAATCCAATTTTTGACTTTCGATATGCCGATACCATAGCTTCCTAACTGAGATGTAAATTCGTCCTAATTGACTTTGTTATTTGACATAGCGAATCTCTTCCCAAATTTATTTTCAAATTATTCGCGATGTTCCGTCGTTGGACAACTGACTTCTACTATTAAAGGACCTTGCCGTCTTTTCGTATAGTATCGATCCCTTTCAAACAGGAATGAAATACATACAGTTGGATAGAGGAAGCAACGGTGCATCGACTGGTGTTTTTGGTTTTTTGATTGGACCATTAGGAGAGAAAAAATAGAGTTTCGAAGTACAGACGTTCTGTAGGAAAATAGGTGTTTGTCATCTTAAAATTAATTTATCTTATGTTTTAAAAACAACCATCTCCAGTTTTGAGCTTGAAAATTGCGCCTTTGAATAAGATTCAGATTTAGACAATAAAAAATCACATATTGCTTTTATCCCAACTAGTGAAAAAAATTGTTTTTCAAAAATATGAAGGTTGTTTGCATCCACAAAAAATGTAAAATTCAATTTTTTTCACTCATTTTCCGCTTCTAATAAAAACTAATACCATATTTGTAATCTACGAGTAAAACCGCATCGAGTAGGCTATTTTAGAAGTGTTCACTGCCTTACATCTAATACCTATGGTAAACCACAAAGGTAAGACATCTTTTTGCAACTCATCTTAGCAAAAACCAAGGAAATGCACTCGTATTTTGCAGTTTTCACCATCAAACTTTCATTTCTTTGCAAAATGAATGTCATATTTGGAATCAGCATTAAAAACTAAATGGACTGATGTGCGTAACGGTCCTACCGCAAAGGTAATTGCGTTACCCTTTTTAGGAACTTCAAAACATTATAACTTTTTGAG